TATGTCTAAAATTAAGTCACACTTTAATATTTTTCTAAATATTCTTCAATCTTCGTATATCATCATAATGTTTCTCTGAGTTGTTTTCTCCATATTTGCACTCCAAACGATTTTCCGAACCCCCAAACAGTTCTGTTGACGCTCAGACGCCTCCAGAGACGGCTCTGTCTCCGGCTCCTCTCTACACGTGCACGAGCATCTGCCCTCTGCGTTATGGGTGATCGGCAGCGGCTCTTTAGCGACGCTTTTATTCTTCTTACACGTGCACGGGCTCCGCGCCTCGCGTTATGGTTAACGAGCTAGCTAGGGCTGAAGACTCAGCTACACACTAACTGCTCGGGCGGTTTATATTAAGTATAAATACATCTTTACACCAACTGATCGCCAAGCTACATACGCTATTTTTTCTCTGGAGTTTGTTTATTTTTACATCATGTACTACCCATTCTACATATTTGTTTTTGCAGATCAGAGTCCAGGTGATCGGATCACCTGGTGCTCGGACTTCTCCACCGATCAACTGGTCGAACTGCTAGGTTCATGGACTTCATCGCCGACCAATTGATCGGACTGTTCGCCGGTCGTTTCTACTCAACGCTCACTTCGCCGCCGATCAGTTGACCAGACTGTTCATCGCTCATGCTTCATCGCCAGCTATGCTGGTTACTCCTCGGCACTCGGATTCTTCGTGCTTGAGGACTAAGTGGGCACACTTCACCTACGCACGTCGCTAGCTACGCCAGGGACTCCTCGGTGCTCGGACATCGCCTACGCCTGAGACTCCTCGGTGCTCGGGCATCGTCAGCTACACCGGGAAATATAAATATCGACAGCTGACTGATAAGCTCTGGCTGAAACCAACAAACGAACAGGCTGAATAGGTGTTGAACTCTCTCTTTTTTCCCAAAGTAGTCGAATATAGATTACACAACTTAATTTCTAAAAAACTGGTGTACTGGTCCTTCACGTTAGGACACTCTTTTTTTTCCCTCCATATTGATTAATTAATATATCAAATTACTTAATTATTTTTTTTTGAATTGAAATCAATTTACTCAATTATTAGTCTGGTCGTAGCCTCTGGGCCGACCGCCTCGTCAGAAAATAAGAAAAATTCCTCCTGGGCCGCCCGTCCGCCCGTGTTGTTCCGCCGCCTCCCGTCCCGAGTCCGAACGGTACGTCCCCGCTGCCCCCTTCCGTGCCGGAGCCGGAGCCGGAGCCGAAGAGGAATCTACGAGGGCGGCGGAATAGCCTAGTTGCATATAGATATATAGCAGCCTAATCGAGAGGAGGAGGAGATCAGGAGAACCCAAATCACACCAACCCTAGCAAGCCTTTCTTCGATTCGATTCGTCGATTCGTCTCTCTCCCCCTTATAATCGCCAGGCACAGGGAGGAAGACAAACAAGATCCATCGCATCGGTGGTGCTTCCGTGGTGGGCATGGCAATGGCAGCACGAGCAGCGCTCCTTCGTTCTGTGGCCACCAAGATGGCCCGCGCACCGCCTCGCCTTCCTTCTGCACTAGATCATCATGGCCGCCTTCCAACGAGCTCCGGTGGCCTATGGCTTTCTAGATTCTCTACATCTACTGGTGGTTCCATGCCGCCGCCAGCCAACCTCAGGGTATGCTGCTCCTCTTCCAATGATCTAGGAGAGCTTCAAAAGAAAATAATGATGACTGCTAGCTAAGATATCCTCACTTGTATTTGTGATTTTCAGTGGAAAGGATAGTTTTAAACAAATGGTAAAGGTTGAAGCCATAAAAGCCGCATTCGATGTTTATAGAATTTTGTTGATCAGTGGCATACTCTCCTATTGTTGGATTGTGCCGAAAATTAACGCATTGGGGGACAGAGTAGATGCAGTGGAAGATAACATTAATAAAGTCATAAAGCAAGAGTTCGAGAGGGATACATATTGAAGCGGAGAGGGGTAAAGCCAAAATTTCTGAAGTCTAAAGCATGCCAAGCTCAGGTATTTACTTTGCAAGCCCTCTTTCATTCTGGAGAGAATTCCTTTTTGCAAAAATGAGTCGTTCCCTCTTTGTCCGCTCGTTCCTATTTGACACTCACTTCAATTTTCATCCATAAGATCAAACGTCAAATCGTGATACGTTTTTTTAGCGCGAAGCAAATTTGAATTATTAGCTTTTTTCACTAGGCAAAGCTCTTTTTTTTTATATGATTTGGTAGTGTCAGATGAGTGTCAAATAAAAACGAAAAAATTTCAGGGCCAAGAAAGGAACGACTCATTTTCCCAGTGCCAAATAAGGAATTCTCTCTTCATTCTTCCTTCTTCCTGTCTCTTAAGTTGTTGCACGCATTAAGATCAAACTTCGTGATATTTTACGAATTATTAGCCTCACTAGGCGCAGCTGGTTTTATATACAGATGGTACTAGCGGATTTGTATTTGAAACTACCATACATTCAAGCGAACATGGTTTTGTTAATTTTCTTTTTGCGATCGTACATGTTGAAATGGGCAGTGTGTAATAGATTGAGAGAAACTAGCGATGAACATAAATGAATGCAGAATATATTACTACTATTTTACATCTTGCCACTTTGGGAAGGTAAATGCTGACTGCATCAGTATAATGTTTAGTTGGTTAGAAGCAACGCGATTTCCTTAGTATGCATTAATAGAATATGACTTCAATAGCACAATTACTGATATGTATTGATTATGAGCAGGAGCCAGGAGGACATGATAAGGATCGGAACCTGGTGAACACCAAGCTTCAGATGATTTAGATGAGGCCTAGATTAGTTCGTTACTAAGACCGCATAAAAAATAGTTGAGCAGAGAGGCTTGCCTTTTTTTTCTTTCATATATATGGATTATTAAACAATGTCGGTCTTCTCAGTTAGGGAATTAATTGTAATTTGTAACTTCGTTCTGCTAGCTGATAATGATCTAAGTTTAGGGTGAAAGGTAATGTTAATTTTTATGTATTGGTGCATGTCTCCTAAAAATTCCCATCTTGGTTTTACTATACCTCTGTCCCAAGAAAAAGTTGCATAGCAAGTTTTGAAGTATTTGCTACGTGATGATGACAGTTTCTCTGGACGAACTTTTGTTGGCAATGTTCCAAATCTTCAGCCCATCGTGAGGATACAATTTGCCCATCGTGGGGATACAATTTAATTCTATTCTGGTTTCTGACACTAGTGATCGATCACCTTGCTAGACTACCAGCCTCACGTTCTCTCTGTGTTTAGTTGCCAGTCTAGTTGGCCTCTGCATGTGTTTCCTCCTGATAACGAAGTACTGAAAAAGATTCATTCATGTAATTTGAAAATCATCTATATGTATCTTTGGGTTCCAGGGCCAATGAGCAAAGGGCGTGGCTAGCACCTGCATATTCGGACACCCATGTAGCCTGCCCTGTCCGCCTTCGCCACGCCCACGAGTGCGCTCCACCCCATCTCTGTGCCCGCCCGTCCTTCCCCTGACCCCCTCCTCCTCCTCCTCCTCCTCCTCTCTCTCTCTCTCTCTCTCTCTTTGACTCTCCGCGTGGGCGACACACGGGAGCCTGGATGAGCGGCTGAGGATGAGCACGCCCCAGAGCGCTCCAACCTTCAGCACCCTCAACCGCTGGCCCTAGCGCCCCCGACCGTCGTTTGGAACACTAAAACATTTAGAACATACTGTTGCAACATATGCAAACATCTAGATAAAAAACTATTGCAACATACATCTCGAAATAGATGAAACATTTTGAACAAACTCTTGCAACATGCCTCTGCAACACTTGCAACATGTGCAACATCCTTCGATCTACTTTTACGACATCAAGATGAAACAATTGATTATACAGAAATGCCCAAACACTTCAAACATATGTTTATGAAAACTAGGGGAGGGAAAGGCCGATTGTAATTGTTTCCGCCCTTGATGTTGCAAAAGTAGATCAAGGATGTTGCACACCTTGCAAGTGTTCGTGGGTGCCCTTGTTGCAATAGTTTGAGAAGATGTTTCATCTATTTCGAGACACATGTTCGCCTTGGCGCCCATGGCGTGGTCAGTCAGCGGCGTCTTTAACAACGATGGGACAAGGACGAACGGACGGCGAGGGAGCGAGCAGCACAGGTGTTTAGGATGGGCGCGCGGCGCAGTCGGCAATGGGGCGCAAGGCGGTGGGGCACGGCGCGGCAACCGACGAGCGCGCGATGGGGAAGGAGTGTGGACAATGAGCAGCCACGCTGCTTCGTGGCCGAACAGATAAGCACGAATGAGTTGGGGACTAGGCACATAAGCACGAGGGAGTGGTGATTTTGTTTTTTGTTTGGAGACCGCTCCTAATGAGCCGTGTCCAGACGGGAGTCATGGACGGACACCCGAGTTGGATCATTATCGATGAGCAAATCTCTTATCCTGTGTCTAATGATGAAAAAACATACAAGTTCTAGAACCGACTAGGTTCCCATTGGGTGAGCAATTACAATTAGTCAGAACACTGCGAGTTTTTCAGGAGATGCTCACACAGGAGTGAAAACGTCTAATCAATTATAGGCTCCCTAGCCACCAGGCACAGATTCAGCATTTGCCATTTAGCTACATTCAGTTTCAAGGGTGCCACCAGTCACAGATTCAGCATTTGCCATTGAGCTACATTCAGTTTCAACAAGTAAACCAAATTCTGAAAACTGAAACGTAAAACCAGACAATTGCTTTAGGTTCAACCCTCCGTCGCACATACAATACCCACTGAATCTCTGAAACAATCGCATGGAGAGAATCAATTCCTTATAAGAGTAGGTTACCAATCGATCAACCTCTTAACTGACACCTTGTTGATATGATATACGAATCAGCTTACACCTTTCAACGGTTGAGTAAAGATGGGACAGAATGAGGAAATACACTAGCAAAATTTCTGCAGATAGCATCTTCCTAATTTCCAACCCTCACTGGTACATGGCGACAATCAGACTACCAAACACTGTCTCAGTCAAGACAGCAACGTGCGCCCTTGTATACAGAAAACACAAGCTTAAGAAGAATCATCAGCTTCTAGGTGCATCAAGCCTTCTTTGTAAACTTCAAACTCATCACACGACCAGCGGCACACAAGGTATAAACGGAATGTTGCCATCTGTATTCCAAGCAACCGCTGCAAGAAAGAGAAATCAAAGGGGGTTCAATGCAATGAAATAGAAAAGCATAAAATGGGGCAGGTTTTGGTTTCAATGCAAAATGGCCACATGCCTTCCAAAAGTTGCAATAGAGATGATACTGGATTACTGGAACACCTTATGCACAGCAGATTTCAGTAATGAGCGAATAGTGAATTGTCAATCGATATGTTTTGCAAATTGCAACAGACATAATTTAATGGGGTGGGAATGTAATTCTGGGCAAATTAAAATATGCTTCCTTTAGATTGATCAAAGTTACATAGCGAATTATGACATATATTCTAAATCAAACATATGACAACCATCGCATAGTAATTCATACCAGAGTCTGTGCTGCTTCTGGTGAAAGGGGCTTTCCTTCCTCACAAACTACATGGTCTGCAACCAACTCTACAACACCTGCACCAACAATGGTAGACTTTTTAATAACACTTTTCGTGGCAGATTTCAAGCATTTGTGTAACGCAGGGGAGACTACAAACCTTTGTTCAAGCGAACTGGAAGTCCTTGCTTCCGTAGAAAGGGCTCCATCTCATGTGTGAACTGTTCCAGAGGACCTTCCTTAAGCTCCACCTGAGGCATTGTAAATGTTATTAAAAAAAATGGTGTAAATTTGGTGAAACACATTATACAAGAAACTAAAAATGGCATTAACATCAAGAATAATAACACCTGAAGCAGGCTAAGGAGCGATTGCAAATAAGTTTCACTGTCAAAGTACCGTTACCCTGGTGTGAGTGATACGATCAGTATATATTGGTAATACATTAACACCAAGAGCCTAAACTTGGCATTGGTCATGAACCAAGATTCCAAAAGACGCTAGGCGCTAGGCAGGCACTAGGCCACTTCCTAGCGCCTAGGCGGATTAAACGTAGATTAAACGCGATTAAGCGTTTGTGCTTTTTTATTTGCTTTAATTTTCAAAAAAAATTCTGGCAACACGTATGACTTAGATTAGATTCCCAACTTCAATCTCAGAAGACATTGTAACACATTGCGATTCTGATTCCAATTCTTGCAAACTTGCAAAGAAGTGGTGAATGGACTTGTAATTTTGATCCCCACACGTCATGTTTCCCTTTTCCCTGGCTCTTCCGCATGCTTTTTTGCTGCCCGCCAGCCCGTGCAGTCACAGATAGCGCGGCACCAAGCCAGCCATGCCACCCCTTTTTTTAGTGTTTCTGCACTGCTTAAGCACTGCCTCATGCCTACATGCACCGCCTAGGTGTGTCCAGAGTTTTATTGGTCGCCCAGGCACTAAACGAGACGCTAGGGGTCCGTTTCAGGTTCAATCGAGAGTAAACGTAAGTTTAATTAGGTTTTTAAGAACCAGGTCATGAACACGGTCTTCCTGTCTATTTGAAGAAACCAGGGATATACATGAAAAGCAAAACTAGAATACCGTCTCTGTCGCAGTACTTCCTGTCCTTGCAAAATCATGCTCCTCAAATTCTCGAAACATCCTGCCAGTATGATATATAACCATATCAATATTTATGTAGGCTAAAACAAGAAATGTAAGTAATGGTGATGGCATACGGATAGTACCTCTCAACATCATCCCTTGGAAGATTGGTAAAGAACAGACCAGAGTCACCTTGAAGGAACTAAACACAGCGAAGTTACTTTCATCAAAACCTCATATTAGTGGTCTGGAAATTGGCACACAGTGCCTACTGAATTGTGAAAAGGAAGAGCTCACCTTGGAAAGTTTGTGGAGGCCTGTTTTAGCTTCATCAGCAGGTGAACGCCCCAATGCTATCTGCATGACCTTCTTTCCAGCAAGAAATATCCTGGAACAGAAAATGCTGCAGCTATCAAACATGTGGGAGCTAAGCCTTATTAGCATTTTAAAGGGTTCGGCTAGCATTGTGCCCTTGTATTAGGAGCAATGTGTTCCAGGGGTGCACTATGTAGCATATAAAACAAAGTTTGTTGATTCATGTAAGATGTGGAGCAGTTGAATATTGCTTGGAAGGGTAAAATGGATGACCAAAGCAGAACCAAAATTAAGCCCTGTCCACCGTAGCATTCGGACAGACAGAACGGCATTGCAGCAGACATGTGGGCGCCATACCTGCTAGAGGATTTGAGCTGCTCCCTGAGGTCCTTGAGCTTCTGATTCCTCATGTTATCGTAAGTAAAAACATAGGCGCTGCTGTATTTGTCGATAGCATCTTTGATCTCGGCGACTACTTTGCCCTTGCGCTCTAAACCCGGCTTCTTCTTGGTCTTCGATAAGGTCACTGCGTCCAGCGAGCAGAGAGTCAGTGTGCATTAGCATAATTTACAGCAAGGCTGTTGTGCAAACTAAGTATTGAAAGCTTGTAAGTATTTGCTCTGCTCTTGATCACTCTAGATAGAGAAGTAAAAATAAAAAAAAATACATGCAAGAGGGGGAAATTACCAAACAAAATTTGGTGCGAATACGAATGCACAAAAAAGACAACTCTTTTCAGAAAGCACAGATTTGTACAGGCAACAGCAATCGGCGAGCCCACAAGCGAGGAACGTACAAGGAACCGCTACAATGTTACACGAACTAGCGCCCGCCCCAGGTCAAGTTAAGTAGCATAACACGGTGCATCCCCTCCATGGAACACAGCGCAGTGGTGTTGAGGAGAGGAGCTCAAGGGACGGAAGGGGGAGGAGGAGCTGAAAGGATGGGAGCTCACCTGGGCGGTTGCGCTTGGATTTCGGCATCGCCCGTCCACTCCTGAGCTGCGGAGGCGGCGAAAGCTACGGCGGAGACGGAAGCGGCGGCGGCTCCTCTCCTCTAGGGTTCTTGTCGTGAGAGCGAGCACGAGATGGTGGCTGAAGAGCGGCGGCTCCCTCCTCTTTGTACCTGAACTGGCCTTGGCCCATCATTATTCAAAGCAACTCCAGTGCACTAGGCAAAAAAGTTACAGCCCAGCCTCCAGATCGGGCCGGAGATATCCATCATTCCTTCTCTTTTTCTGGGCTTTGGCTTTGCAATCTTTCTACTGTAAAAAAAAAACGGTAGTGATTTGGTTAAGGGCGTCCGTCCGAATGAATGGACCGACCCGCGCGGTGTGATGACCAAGAAAAAAAAATTACAGTCATAGGGCCCGCACCTGTTCTAACGGCAGGTCAGCACACTGGAGCGCATGCGACCAGTGGGGTGCATGCGCGGTGACCAAAGAGGGAATGAACGGCACTGGGAGTTCATGAGAGGAGTGTTGGGCCTGCCTCTGCATGCGCCTTTTTTGTTGCTCCCGTAACGGGTGACCGTGGACTTCGAGCTCCGCACCGACGTATGCGTTTCAGGTGTATGTTTCATACGTTTCATCCGAATCTTGTATGTGTTTCATCTGAATATTGTATATGTTGCAATGACTATATACGTATGTTGTAGGTGTATCTTCCAAACATTTCAGCTGTTTCATCTAGATCTTGCATGTATGTTTTCATCTAGATGTTGCATACGTTGCAGTGGCTATATACGTATGTTGCAAGTATATGTTCCAAATGTTTCACCCGATTCAGACGTATGTTGCGAGTGTTTTATCTGAATGTTGCATATGTTGCAGCGGCTATACACATATGTTGCAAGCGTATGTTTCAATTTATTTCACCTTGTTCCAGTATGTTGCAGCAAGCGCTGCTTCCCATGCGCTCTAACTCCGGGCACGCACGCGCTACACGCACCCACCTAGCATTGCCTATCTTTGTCATGCGGGCTACCTCCAACGGTTGGACGTAGCGCACGTAACGGGCGGTCAGTGCCCAAACTTATTCCTGCTTTTCCTCTTTCTTAATAATTCTCAAGTTACAAGAATCTCTGCTTAGACAGGAAAATGGTTACAAGACAAGATACACACACACATCAGGATTGCAGAAGCATTCCTCTCTCTGCACTTTCTGCTCAACTCTGCTCCTGGACTGTGGCTACTTGTTTCAGCTGCTGCTGCTGCCTGCAAATACCACTTGAACGATCGCTGAAATGCTCCTCCTGTCTTCGCTGCTCATGCAGCACAGGTTTCTGGCTCCAATGGAATAGAAAACCAGGGCGCCAAATTGCATTGATACGACAGGAACCGTCAGATTGTCGTCAAGGCGTGTGCTGATCGGGAGTGACTCCACAACTGCTGCAACCAGGGATATGACACCGAAGGCAGCGACCATGGTCCAGCTCTTCTCAACAAACCCGAAAATGCTGAAGTAGCACATGAACCTGGTTTCAGGTTCAGGTAATGTATGCAGAGTCTTCAGGTTTCAGCAATAGTGTTGGATAGAAAAAGGTAACAGATAGTCTGTTTACTTACAGCACTGATGCGATGAAACCTGCCAAGAACATGGCAATGCTTCCGGCATATGATTTTTCAGGGTTGTGAGGGAGCTTCACACGCCCGAATCGTCTCCCAAATACGTCAGCAACACCTGAAAGAAACAGCGTGCTGGGTTCAGATTTCACCTGAAGAAACAAAGAGGGAGTTGTGGCTACAGAGCAACCTCTTCTGCTACTAACTAACAGCACAGAATTAGTAGAAAGAAGCAGAGCTAATACCGTCTCCTGCACACAAATTGCAGATCACTGCGATTGAGATGGGTGATGTCCTCCAGAAAACTATTGTTGTCAGAGTTATAGCACAGGCATAATATAAAGGGCCCTTGAGAAGTTCTCTGGAGTCAATCAAGAGGCAAAAGATTGGAATAGTTAATGCCTCATCAGGTCTGGCAAAAGAAAACACTTTTGTTTGAACAAGAAATACATATTTGATCACTGCAAAATACACCTGCGGTCTCCATGCCTGGTCATCGAGTTAAGCACACCTTCATCTTTCATCAAACCAAGTCCAATCACTGTCACCTTTATGATGTTGACGATGAGGATAAGCGGAGCAAGAAATGGAGCAAACACATCATCCGAACTGAAAACGAAAAGAGCAAGGAAAGGAATTATTTGCAGTAGGGTAGATAGACTAGGACTAGAAGAATAGGGACTTTGTTGGTGGCCTAATTTTTACTTTACCTGAACAAAGGCCACATAAGGAAATACACTAATCCGACAGTTATGTGCACCAGTTTCCTGCAGAGTTTCTAGAATGCACGGAGAAAGACATACAGAGACCAATCAGTAAATTCATCTTGAAAGGGAAAAAAGTCAATAAGCTTCGAAATCGAAAGTGATGGCTAACAAAATTTTGATTATTTCATAATATGATGACTAGTGAAGCTGCAGTGCTGCACTACTACTAGAGTTTGGTGGTTGACTTTTGAGGGTGGGGTTCAGCCGTTCAGGGCAGCTTGGAACGAACTGAAACCACAACTTCAATCACTACTTGAATCTATTGTTAGCACAAGCAATATATACCAATTTTTATACGGAGTACAGAAACTGTGTTCGTTTAAGGACAAACATAAGTGAATCTCCCAAAGGAAAAGCTCTGATTTAATCGGCTTAATTAGTAGTAGCAGTACTAAACTAGTAAGTCCGAGGAAGCAGCAGAAGCAGCAAGGGAGGAAGAAAGCAAAGCAAAGGAGTGACCTGGTCCAGCAGCGCGCGGTTGGCGACCTCTTCCCAGAAGCGGAGCACGACAGCCGCGGCCACTCCGGTGAGCACGGCGGCGCCGGCGTCCCGGAGCAGTGGGCTGTCCGTCCACATGGTCCCGGCTGGCGAGGCGGAGGTACCCAGCTAATAACTGTCGCTGGTCCTGCTGCTTGACTGGATGGATTATGGATCTGTTCCTGTTCCGCTGTCTCCGTTTCATGTTCTGCAGCTCAACTGTCTCCCTTTCATGTTCTGTTTTACTCCACATGAAAAAAAAATTTATTTTGAAACAATCACATGAACTATGTTGACCAAACTGTATTATTATTATATTACTACTGCTAGTTCTCTGCCTGTTCCCTGAGCTGGACTGAGCCAGCCAGCACTGTTGTGAAAATCATTCTCAATAACAACAAGAAGACTCAATTGGTGTCTCAGATCTGTACTCTTGGCTACTCTTTGTAAGTAATCTCTTTCTCTGTTGTCTTTGTTGCAGAAAAAATAGCAGCCAAATTTATGTTCTTTTAGGATTTCAATTTTTCCCCTAGTTATCTTCTCACGGATTTTCCCATGTGCCCATCATAAACGACTGGTCCATAAAATATGACGTGATTTCCTCCTTGTGGTACTCCTATGTCCAATCATTATATTAATATATAGTACTATATTATATTACTTTATTTGACTGGAAAAAAAACATGCATCTGAAGTTCCTGCAGCGTGGAGCCAATGTGGACTCAGGAAAAAGTTATTTGAGTCCATGTGAACATCAGAAATTGACACTTGAAAGCCTCTACAAAATAACCAAAACTCGAAACCTTAGTAAAACGGAGGGTTGAGGTCCATCTTTCAAAGCACTGCTAAAAGTACGAGTGTACAACAATTTAAGTACTAGGTCTCCTTTGGAAAACATGATTTCTTTCATATTTAGTGTGTTTTCATATGAAAATGAATTGATTCACGTGGAATTGGAATTTCCATATGATTCCTGGGTTAAAATCACTTGTACGTGTGCAAGTTCTACTCAAGTAGTTGTATACAAAGCATTGTCATATCGGATATATTGTTTAGCTTCACTTCCTTTTCTTTCAAAGTTTTGGGCTAGGAGCCTTGGATGGAGATGCATTGTTGGTAATATATTTTTATCTCTTTATTAAGAAGAAAAGGTTTGATTTACAACACGGGGCAATATAGATTGTGCACCCACTGGCTTCAAAAGATTCAAATAACTCCAATCTATGGATTACAAGATATACGTAATTTGAGAGGGAGGGGGGGGAGAAACTCTAAGCTTGTTCTCTTTCTTTTATGAGCTTCTTATCTTTTGACAAAGGCCCAATCGTATACGAATAGATGTTAGGAAAAAGTTTATTTGACATTCCCTAACATCCGTCAAAGCCCGATTTGTCTCTCTAATTTAAAAAAATGGTTTTGAAACCTCCTCCAACTTCTGAAACCGTCTGAATTTGCTCCCTAGATGGTTTTGAGAGTGGTTTTTAACTAATGCGGACTTGCTAACACCCGGACGTCCATTCGGGGCGCTAGTGTTCAGACGCTGCGTGCGCATGGCGCGTCGGGCTCGTGAGAGAGAGCACCAACAGTGGGCCCGCGCTGTCTCGACGTCGCCCACGCCGCCCCAAACATCGTCCGCGCCGCCGGCCGCTTCCCACACACATCTCATGTGCAATACCCGATCTACTTTTGAACTATCCATATGCAACAGTTGCAACATACAAAAGAAGACAAATGAAACACTTGAAATAAATATCTGAAACACTTGCGAAAAAGCCTGAAAAACATTTGAAAACCATTGCAAATATATGCAATATCTAGATGAAATACTTGCAAACATATGTATGAAACACCTGATGAACATACTTGAAACATATGCTTGCAACATGCATATATATGCAACATCTAGATCTGTTTTTGCAACATCCAGATAAAACACTTGCAACATTCGAACAGATAAAACATTTGGAATATACACTTGAAACTTACATGTATAGCCATTACAACATGTGCATCATCCCGATTTACTTTTGCAACATCGATATACAACACTTGCAACATACATCTGAAAACATCTGAAACACTTCAAACATACTATCTCAACATGCGCTTTCAGCGTCGCATCTGCTTGTTGCTTGGACGAATGGAGGCTCGCCGGTGCGGAGCTCGATGCCACGGA